AATGTTTACTCACAATGCTAATGCTCTCTTACTCTCTGGCGCTCAAGAGGTAGAGGAGCCAAATGGCTGGCTCAGTGCTGCCAACTAATGGTCAGAGGCTGAACTACAATATAAAAATGAACGGCTGGCAGGAAAGTTGACGTTTTAAGTCTTAATAAAAAAAATCGATACAGGGCTTTGGAAAATCGATACAGTATTGGGAAATGAAGTATCGCGATATTTCAGTGTATCGATATTTTCTTACACCCCTAATAAATATACCCATATATTTGTTAATGTAGCTAGGATTTCGATAAAATTAGTCTGCCTTTGGTGAATTGTTTAAAAATCAGGGTGTTGTGCTCACAGCAAAAATAGGATTTTAATCTAATTTTGGTGTGCGGATGCAGTGTAAATGCTCTCGTTGATTAATGGGTGTGTGTTTGCTGCAGAGATCAAAGCAGAGCGGACGCAGTGTAAATTGGAGGAGAGTTACTTCCAACACACTGAGCACTTAACAGATCATGATGCATCTTTGCTTAAACTTTGGCACAGAAGGTGACAGACAATATCATCCACAGTCATTGGAAAAAGAAAGTCTGCCCTCTTTCACTTGYAGAGTTTTGTAGAGTGGGCTTAATTAAAAAGGTCTCTGATATTAGTTCCCTAGATCAGAACAGCAACAAACAAGTCTGACTGATTCTGAAGCAAATGAAACACAGCTCAAACCTTGAAAATAACAAACAAATAATGCTTTTCTGATGTTTTCTGGTTGGAAAACAGTATTTTATATCAACATTAGCTGACTGATAGTATTTTATAGTATMTGTAACTGGGAGCTTTTGTTCTGTAAGTGTGACAGGTCCAGCAGAAGGAAAAGGACTGAATTTACTCTAATTTGAAGAAGCATCTTAATAAAAGATTTAGTTGGCTTAAATGAGACTTATTGACAAACTTGTCAAATGTCCACCATGAGACACCTGCAGGCGTCACATCACTGCAAAACATCTTGACTGAGAGACAGAACAATGTGAACAGATATGACTGATGGCTGTATTTCAAAATATATTAAATATGTGCGAATTTACAACTAACAGGCAGGTAGGTTCGTCTGAAAACAACTAGACATGTTTTCTTTCTGTACATTAGAAACAAGTCATGGAACATTTCCTGATGTGCTCCTGATTGCTCATGAACATAAACCTGGAGCAGCACGATGCTCTCAGTCTACCTGAGGCTCCCTCAGAGAGAAGTGCAGGTACCAGATCCTTGTCAAAGTGCAGGTCCAGAGCTGCTTTCTGSCTCAGCAGGACTCTGAGGTTCCTCCTGTGAGCCAACGAAAAAGCAGACTTGTTGTGGGGAGGTGGGGGCCATGAGAGGAGGGGAGGACACAGCTTTGGGAATCTCCCAGTAGTTGTTGTGAAGATCGAGGGAGGACATAGCTGGAAGGAAGTCACTCTGTGTGGGGGCGTGAGTTTCTGAGGGCAGTGGGGGGACACTCAAGCATTTTCTTAATGGTAAGTCCCTGTAAAAAAACACAAAACAAAATATTTTACTTCTTGTGTTCAGAAGGTGTATGTAACCCCTGTGACCGCCACGCCCCAACCACCTTCCCTTTAAGCCGTCCCTTTAACCGCTGGGACCCKARTGTGTATTTCYGGGTTTCCACKGTGCTGCTGCTCACTGTTGGTTGTGGCGTCGATTGTTAATAAAACAATCTCAAATCTCCAACTCGACTCATCAATGAACCAATTCATCCCTAAAACCTGAGGATCTGCGGTGAGTTGTTAAGTACCATCTGAACTTGATGTTGTATCTGCGATAATAGCGCCGCTAATGTGGCCGCTGCMATACTCACCAGGTTGGGATTCATTGACGCCTGGTATAACTTCCTGATGAGAACAAGTTAACAGACTCCACCTCCTCAGACAATCTGTTACTCGACGGTGAGTAAATATCATTTATATAAATAGTAGGGCGTTTTATTTCCGCAACGCTCCGTCAGTTAGCATTAGCTGCCATCTCGACAATCAGTTGTTCGCATGAGCAGTCCACTTACTAATTACTTACTTAATAAAAAGTCACATTGTCGAAGCCGAATTAAAGACCACACCTTTAATATTTAAAGGCTTCCCCTTCAACTTTAGATT